AACTGATTTTTAAGTCATTTTTTAATGCCATTATAATTTATCATTTTATTTTTTGAATATTCGTAAACACTGATAACGTATAAGAAGTAATACTTGCATTATTGATAATTTTTCGGCTTCTAGAATCAAAGAATTGAAAGATCAAGTTTATATTTATGATTATTGCATTAAAAAATTCAAATCTTATATCAGGGATTGAATGACAATGACCAGTGATTATGGTCATTCTTAATTGCACAATGACCAGTGATTATGGTCGTTCTTAATTGCAACATAAAGTTTTGAGTAATTAATTCATCCAGTCATTAAGTTTTCAAGTACAAATACAAAAATACATTTATGCTTTAAACTCTTATCAGTTTTGTAGTGAACATAGTGCAATAGCTAAAAGATTACAAAGATGTTATCATCATTTCTACAGTCTTTACTTTTCGTATTAGTTTAGATGGAAGTAATTTTTTCAACATTCACCATTTATTTTGCAGTTAAAATCATATTAAATTCTCAACTTCTTGTCACAGTTCAAAGTAAAATACACTTAAAATATGACTGAAAGCTATAAAAGTAACATAAACATTACTAATTTCTTAAAAATAATAATTCTTAACAACGAAAGTGTAAAATTCAATAAAATTTTGCGCCTTAAATAATACATATAAATTTATAAGAAATGCCATTCTGTTTTATTTATTTTAAAAATTTAGTTGAAAAAGATTATTTTAAGCAAAAATATCTTCCAAATGTCAAAATTTACGATTTTGATAGCAATATTTTTAAATTTATTATAGACAAACTTTTTTGCATGCAAATAAAAGTTGAAAAATTTTCGTTATTTTTTTTACTGAAAATATTATCAAAATTAAATTCATTTGAATCATTTCAAAAAAAGCTAAATAAATAATAAATATTTAGATTTTTGAAAGATTACTTTCACTATTATCAAAAAAACATTGTCAAATTTTTCTTCTCACTGAAAATCAAAAATTATTTTTACATAAATTTTTGATCTTTTTCAGAAATTGGAAATGAATGAAAAGGCATCAAGCTGTACAATATGTTTGAAAATTCAATGTTCTAATTTTTCTAATAATTCAGAAAAATAATAGAATGAAATGAATTTAATAAACTCAAACATTTAAATATTTATTTATTAAGCTTTTTTTTTTGAAACGATTCAAATAAATTTAAAAGTTGGCCATTTAAAGAATTTAATAAAAATTTAAAAATTCATTCATAAACATAAAAGTAACAAATGTCATTAGCTTGCTATGTAAAATTGTCTTTTATTAAAGAAAAAGCTTTTTACTATAAAATATTAATTACGCATTGCTTTGCTTAATTAGTAGTCAAATATTTTAAAGCACAAATGCATGCATCTGTTTTATTTTGCAAGCGAAATTTTCAGTGCAGACTGACATTAATAATTTTCTAGTAGAAAAACAAAGTTTTATGACAAACTCTAATCTTTCAGAGCAAATTTAGACAACAATTAGCCTTAAATTGTTTATTGTTTGTCTGATATTTTCAGTAGACATTGCAATATTTTGCTTCACTTATTTATAAAACAATTTTCAACACAAAATATAAACTGTCTTCAGTTACACTTGTTCAGTTCAAAGTAATATTTAAATTTAACCTTAAATTTGTTTTACAATAATTTAATTATTTAAATATTGAATTATTTAAATAATGCAACGAAAATAGCATCAGTTTCATCACATAAAAATAAAATTGAAATAAAATTAATTTTTTTGAATTTTATAACTTTTATTATCATTAGCAATAGAAAGGCCACTCGCTATCAGTTTAAAGTGATAAAAGTTTTCCAGCAATTACAAATTACTGTTCATATTATAATTTTTAACTGTTTATAGATAATTCTGATACTATATTACTTTCAGTGTTTTATGATAACAATTATAAAAATAATAATAATAATATCATTATTTTTACGTAGTTTTTAAATTAAACTACCTAGTTTGATTAAAAAATAATTAAGCGTTTTCAGCACATCAGAAAAGATGAAATAACTACAAATACTTTACCAATTTTTTCGTGTTCACATATAAAGTCTATGTAAACAATAAAGCTTTTAATTAATGAATTAATTAATTAAAGAAAAACATTAGAAAATTAATATAAACATATATTATTGTTAAGAATTATTATAAAGCACTGAAAGTAGTGCAGTGGCAGAATTATCAATGAAGAGCTAGTAAAAAACTTTTTATTTTAATTAAGTTACTGCTTTTCAAGCATAACATTTTCATTTTTAGCAAAAAGAATTGAAACTGATCGATCTAATTACTAATTCAAAATTAATAGTAATATATGTTAATATATATTTATAATAATTTTAAAGTAAAGTCAATAAAATGCAATTGAAAGCTAAATAAAGTTTATGTAGCAAATTTATTAAAGTAAATATCAGAACAAAATTAAATTAAAGCTTAATTATTATATTTGTTTTTAGCATATAAATTATATTAAATATGAATAAAAATTTTTGGCTTATATTTAATTTCAGTGCTTAATTTATCACATAATGTCGTAAACATGATTTAACAAATTTAACACTAAGGCAAACACTCGTAAAATTTATTATTGTTTATCACTTCAAGCGTTTTGCATTATGAATTATTTACATAAACAACGCTAAATGACTAAATGCAAATACAATTTCTAATTTTTAATATTCAGGTGAAAAATTAAAACTAAATATTCAAAAATTTGAATATTTTTTGACAAATTCTTAATTTTAATTAAAATTTTGTTGGCAAAAAAAATATTTTCGATTATAAATAAATAAAATTTTTCTTTGAAGTCAAATATTTTCTGTTTAATTGCTATTTTTCTACTGCAAGTAAAGCATACTTTGATTTTTTTTAATTCTTTATAAATATTTTGAGTTTATGCAAATTTTTCATTTCACAGACTTCAGTATTACAATTTTATTCCAGAAATTATTTATTTATAATAAATAATTTGACAGTTAATAGTTTTGATGCTCAAACTGAAATACAAGGATGAATGTATGTGTTTGCAAAAGTATTTAAAAACTGCCATAATAGTAAAATTATTGCAAAGAATAAAACTTATCGAATTGAATTAAATATGCGTAATATACAAAAATAGGGAATGAGCTAATTTAGATAAGATTTACAAAGAATTACGTGAAGATTTCTGTGCTAAAAAAGTGTGGAAAAGTAGAGCTGAAACTTTCTATCCACAATGTTTTTACAAGCAATATTCAAAGCAAACTTGATACTGCACAAAAATGGATTTATAACTGCACAGTTATTATTTATTAAACAGCGATTTTTCTAAATATGAGAAATATTTTAACTCCGGAACAATTGTAACTTGTAATTTGAAACAGAATTTAATGATATGAAAGCATTTAAGTCTTTTATAAGCTAATACATAAAGTTCATACTGACTTCGTACTCAAAAAGTGAACAAATTACAGTTTTATAACTTACTTTTTAATTTAATTAGGAGCAGTCAGCTTTCTGAATTCATTCAAACTTACTTCTTCAAGTTCAGTACACGAATTTTAACCCTTTCTTATAATTAAAATAGCAGAACTGCTCAATAAGTCGTGAATTGCTGCCATTCACAAAATTTCATATTAAAATAATTTAAATTTATTAAATACATATTTTTAAGTAAAACAAATAATATTCATCTGGCATTCTTGTTAACAGATTAAAACGTATTTTGATTATTTCACTAAAATATTTGGAGCTTGCATATTTGAGTAAAGCAAATCGTACTTGCATTTTGTATTTTGAAAAAAAGATTTTGAAAGGTTAAATGCTAAATTTTAGATGAATAAAAGTTAAATTTTGTAGGTTCAATTTTAGAATTTACAAAAGTTGGCAACATTCTATACGAAGATATTTGTTTTATTTTATGCAATATTTTTATATTTTAAAAAATAATTTTTTTCTATTTAATAAATAATTTTGTTTAAATAAATAATATTGTAACAACTGAAATATTTTAGTTTTTTGTGTATATTTGACTTCACAGTGAAGAAATAAAAAATATATAAATTCCAAATAATCATTGCTAGAATTTGCTGTGGCAAATTGCATTAATAAATAATTACTTTTTTAAGTACTAAAAATATGCAATAAAACTCAGTAATTTTGATATATTTAAATTAAATTATGCAAGCTTCAACTTCGACCTTTTTACTGTTTACATTTATCATTCGCATTGTTTTGTTTTCACAACGAACTTTTAAACATTTGCAAGCTTTGAATGTCTGTAAAAGATTGAATGAATTAAAATCAAAACATCATCAAATTTGCATACCAAAACAAGCAACGATTATAACTGTAGCAAATGTTAGTTCTGCCAAACTTTTCAAATTTTGCCGTAAATATAAAATGAGATCTGATTTGGCTTGAGAAATATCATAGCTTTTTAAAAATAGTCGCTTAATTTGAGCATTTATAAAAAACTATAAGTGCTAAATTTATTTTCTTCTTGTAGCAACTAAAAACTTTATGCAATAGAAAATAATTTTAAAAAATAGTCCTTTTCTATTTAATAAATAATATTGTAACAACCAAAATATTTTAGTAATTTTGTGTAGGCAGTTTATATTTTTTAAATTTATAATCAATTTTTTAAAAGATAAATTAATCTTTATTTAGAAAATGATCCATTTATGTATTCACAATGTAGAAATTTTTTAAAATTAGCAAGCAAATCAAATCAAAAATGAAATTATCCATCAGAAAAAATTCTGAGAACAAATCAAAAATTCTTTCTGTTTCCTATTTTCCTTTCAATTATTCAATTTTTTAAGCTTAAGAATTCTAATTCTTGAGTAATGCTTATTACTTACCGTGCTTAATTTGCATATTTATATTTTTGTTGTTTAATGGTACAAGAATGTAAACTAACCAAGTATTTACTTCATCGGACATTATATTTTATACTAATCAATTTACAGATTAAATCGATTAATATATCTGATTGATCAGATGGATTTGACCTTCAGTTTGATCATAATATCGTTTTATTTACATGAAATAAGTGCATTTTGCACCATACCAGAAGACAGTAATACAAAAATGGAATGGCATACTTGTAGAATAAATGACCCTATCAAATATCATGCATTATTCGCTGTTGATAAACATGGTAAAACTACAATTAAACTTTTTAATTACAAATTCGTATAATTGCAACTAATTTAATTTTTAATAAGTTCAAAGTTCAACTGTTAAAATATATTCATATTTTTTCTTTTATTATTTGCTAGGAAATGATAACAAATAACAGAAAGCAGTAAATTACTAAGCTTTCCATACACCCAAATTTTTCAAATATAAAATTTCATTAAAATATCCATAATATTTAGTGATTAGGTTCTAGTTAACAATTAAAGTTTGATTGAATAAACTTTGTTTGGCATCACAAAATGTGTGATAGAACAGTAAGAGCATTTAATTAAAATTATTAAGCGCAAAATTTGAAGCACATAATTGGAGGTGTGGATTGGAGTAATGCTTTGCTTAAAGTGTTGATTATTCAGGAAAAGCAATGCACAAATTCACAATTGATAGTCCATTCACTGTTGTTGCTGATATTTACAACAGAAATGGTGTGATGGATAATTTAAAATCAAAGGTAAAGGTGTGGAGGTGGACAGGACAAAAGTATCATTGCTACTGGAGGGAACTGCCTACTTTTAAGGCATTGTAAGTTATACTGTTTTTACCTAAAAAAGTATTTGATTAATTTTTTTGCATAATATTTTATTTGAATTTCATGATAAGTATCTTATAGCAATTATTTTAGAATACTACTAAAACTAGTCTAGTTCACTTCAGCTCATTTTTAGCTCATTTAGATCATTTTGGTCATATCCAGTTATATTTGTTGCTTTCCATTTACCACCGAAAACTTTAAAAATTTTTTAAAATTTTACAGTAAAAAAGCTTACTTTTTATTCAGAGCAGGTAATTAAAATGATTACTTCTGAAGTCAAAAATTGATATTTTTATATTCCGAATAACTTATACCTTTAAAGTAAATTTTAGTCTATATTTTAGTGACAATCTGCTTAGATGTAATGAAACAATCAAATGTCCGTTGAAGCCTGGAAGACAGATAATCAGATTCGATGTTGACTTGTCAGCTTTTTCACAGATTGCTGCTTTCTGGCCTAAAAATTCAGCTTATAGAATTCGATTTGAAACTCATACTGCAAATTCTTCTCAAAGCTCAACCTGTCTGATATTTGAAAGCCTTATTGAACTAAAATAAAAAAGAAAAAATTAGCTTTTCGATAAGTTAATATGAAAGGGAAGGGAAAATTGCTATGATTAGTTTAAATTGTTATTTAAAATCATTCCTTTTAAACTGTGACACGAACAATCAGCAATTTCAATTTGAGAATCTTAATTTTAGTGTATAATGCAAACATCCTCATGTTAAGCTTTCATTCTAAGATCAGCTACAATCTATCCTCTAAATTTCCACTTCATCCAGATCGTAATCATTCTATACAGCAAACTTTCATTGTTTTTTATTAGAATCCGGATCAATTCAGAAGAAGCCTTGATTAACATTATTAAAATAAATGCTTACGATCTGTTGCAAGAGACTGCATATCACGAAACAAGGTTATTCCTCATCACAATTAAATACATACAGTTGAGCAAAGAAATTTTTAAACTAAAACAAAGTAAATGTCAAAAAGTTACAAAAACATATCAATAAAATGACCCTTACATGTGTTTTAATATTCAGTTGACCTTTTCAATTACAAAAATTGCAAAAAAAGTTATCGCAAGAAAACAAAAAAAATAAGAAAACAATGAAAAATTAGATAGAAATCAAACAATGGAATGATTAAATAAATATGCTGGATTTAAAAAAGTATAAAACATTAAAAAATATATACAACTTGTTATTTGAAAAATACCACGATAATTTTTCATTTTACACGAAGTAATTAAGCTAATAAATGAAAAATAATAGATAAAATAATGATAAATAAGAAACAAATGCTATCACAATGTCAAAGTTCGCAATGAAAAGCTGACAATTACATAAAATCACCTGCTGTTTGATCATGAGACTTACGCGATTAAAGTTTCCCTACCTTACGTTTATTTTTTAAGTCAGTTCAATAATCTGACAACTCTCAGAGTTTACTTGACTTGGCAAATTATTTGTACTAAACTGCAAGTTTTTTGAAATTTTGAAGAAATTAATAAAGTTATAATAATAGTACTACTTGCAATGAAAAAAAAATATTATAATTTCATGCGTTTTAACTTGAGCTGTTCAATGCTAGCTTGTTTAATTTCATTCCAATTATATCATTTAATCTTATGGTTTAGTCTTAAAGCTACATTTGCGATTCTCAAATTTGTTTATATAATTAGAATCAGAAATTTAGTTAGATCACAAAATGCATTAGAAGGAAAAATTTACCATATAGTACAGATCTTTGATATTTTCAAATTGAACCCATTCTTGATGAGACCTGCTCCTCTTCGAATGACCTACCTCAATCGAAAGAGTTAGTCTTTACTTGAGGTCAAACCTTTTTTAGTCTTTTTCTGATCAACTGATTTGCATTCAGTTTTTTCTGAATTTTCTTTACAAAAACTTTCTTCACTTTGTATTTATTACTAATTCATAATGACAAATTTTTTTGACATCTGCAACTGAATAAGCTTGTCTTAGTACGGGTCAAATCTCTAACTAGAAAGGTCAGATTTGTTGTTACAAGTTCTCACAAAAGGTCAGGACTCAATTGCGTTTTCCTCCTTCATTTAAATATCATTATTATTAACACACAGTTTCTGAATCAGTTTTTTCTTTAGTATTCATTCAGTTTAAGAGCTCAGAGAAGAAAAAATTTTCAGCATTTGAAAGTTGAATATAGTATCTAGATTTCTTCTGATGGATATCAAAACGCAATGTCTGTTCTTGGATTTGTACTCAGATTGAAACTAAGTATTCTATTTAGGTTATCCAGCATGCTGTTACTATTAATTCATGTAATAATGGGTGTAACTGTGTGTGAAAGAATTTGTACTGCCCCAAACGGAACTGATACTCATTTAGTATGGAAGTCTTGCTCAGATGGACCGATTATATTCCACAATTTAACTCTGCTTGATGAAAACCGAAAGTTTTTCCCTTTTTGTTTTCAAATAAAAAAATTAACACACAATTTATACTTTTTAATTTCAGCATGTGCTCTACAAAACTGCAAATTTAAGTTTTACTCAAATAAAAATATAAACTAACTTTAGTTCAATGCAAAAATCAAATTTTAAAAAAACATATTTTTCAGGCAATGCAATGTACCCAATTGATGCAAAGAAACCATTCATTGTATCAGGAAGTATTACAAATACTGCTAATGAATATTACGGGGATTTAGCGACATCCGTGAAACTTTACAAGTGGGGAGGATTATTTGGATGTCACTGGTACCAAATTCCCTCTTTTGGAGTTCTGTAAGTGCCATTAAAATTTAGTCCAAATTATTCATATTAAATTGTAAAATTAATCATAATTTTCAGTTTTTATTCTTGAAATACAATTTTTTGCACAAGTTTAGTCTATTACTTATTTTTTTATCGCTGTTATCGTTTAATTTTTTTACTGTACAACAGATGAAAGTCTAATTTAAAATGTTAATTACTGAGTAATCAGAAATTTTTTCCTCTAGCATAATAAACAGGTAATAGCGATAAAAAAGATTGATAATAGAATAATAAACAAATTTAAAAGACGAATAATAAATTTATCTAATTTAGCTAATAACTTTGATTTTTCAAACTACAGAGATTTATTTTGTTCAGTGAACTGAGTTGTATTACTGAAATATAATCAAAAGTTTTCAAGCAAAATTACAATTAGATAAGTAAAAACAAAGGCTTACAAAAATTATTTGAATTACTTACAATATCACTCAATAATTTTTACAGTTTTAAAATCCTTTTTTGCTTTAAATTTATTTACTTTATGCCTAAATTTGTATTTTAAAGGGATGATCTAGTAGAATGTGGTAAAGGAATCGAATGTCCAATTAGGCCCGGACCTCAGCAATTAACAATGACCTTTAATTTACGAGGAATTGATTACTTCATAAAAATCTTGCCTGATGGAGTACCCTACAAGATGATATTCGAGATCATGGACTTAGCTAAGGATACTTACTCTTGCATCGAAATGTGGTCTGTGATCAGAACCTAAAATGAACGCATTTAACTGATACAAAATAACACTTAATCATTGCTGACTTTTTTTCTCCTTTTCTTAAAAAAATCAAAGTAATAATCAAAGAAATCATTATTCTCATTATTATTCTATTTTTAATTAAAATGCAGCAATTAAATATCAGACACATGTGTTTTTATTACTCATAAAATTTGGCCTGTCATTTTTCAATAACAGAAGAAATGGAAAAGGATCAATGCATGGCATACAAAAAACAAACTATTTACCGCGTAAATTCGAATAAAAATAATAAAAAATGAAATAATTTAGATAAATTTACAATTAGCAATTTTCAGAAGTACGTAAGTCATTTTTAAATGAGTAAACAAACAACAAATGAGACAAAACATCATATATCAGAATTACAGAACTCAAATTTTTCAAGTGAATTTTAAAAATTAATTTACAGAACTCAAATTTTTTTAAATGAAATTTTTTAAATTTTAATCACAACAATAAACATTGGTTTTAAGTGATAATGTTCGCAATTTGAGTATTGACCAGTTAAAAAATTAGTCTTGCTATTTAACACTTTTTTAAATCTTCAAAGTAGTTTAATCAATAGAGATTATCGTATACATTGCGTAATCTTCACAGATGGCTTCAATGAAAATCTAGTAATTAATCTTAATTAACTCTTATTGATATCTTCAGATATAATTACTTTCGTAAAATTTTTAAATTTCAAAATATTTTATTGAAAATAAATTAATTGAACAAATTATGTTTATATCATTGCCTCACTGCTTAAAAAATGTTATCACTTTTTATTTCCAATATTTTCTTCAGTTTCAATCTACGTTAATCGTGTCATTATTAATAGATTGGTTGATGACTAGTTGATTTTACTTGCATTGATGCTGTCCAGTTATAATTTTTGAAGTCGTAGAAGAATTTATTGAATGATTGTAATCCACAATAAAGTTTTTCAGTAATGATTACACTTCTCACTTTTTGACAGGTTCAGATTTTGCTATCAAAACTAAAAGTTGAAATTGTGGATTCAAAATCTGCATAAACTTTCCATCATAACAGTCTGTGTAAACACAATTAATGAGCATGTTATATTTAGCGGATTACTTTTGTTCTTAATCTAAACAGAGAAATCTATGAAATGAGTTTTATTTACAAATCAAGACTGATAGTAATACTTGTTATAAGTATAAAAATTGAAGTTAGTGTTGTTTCAATCTTTTTTGCTAAAAAAGTTAAAGGGATATGTAATGTTTACTATGAAATCAAAGATTGAACATTATTTCCGCACACGAATCAAAAGTACGTGTAAAAAATTTCCGTGTGGTTACTTGAAATACCGCTGATTACTTATCAGAATAATTGCTGGGTAGTATGCGGTCTAGAAGTGGTTCCGGTGTACGATTAGACCGCTTGATGTATGTTGTTGAGCAGACTATATTGAAGTACCAGAATCCTATCACTGGGTTATATACCAATCTTGCACAGGTATTCATATAGTTTCATACAGTTTCATACATGTAGTAACTTTCACGAATTCTGCCTAAATAACGAAAAATAATGAATGCCTTATGAAAATTATGATTTAGTTTTGATTACATGCTATTTGAAAGTCTGAAATAGCTGACTGAACTCAGTTATTTACGTGACCAGTTCTGATCGAAGATAACTGAAATTAATGTTTGTAAAGATTGTCATGTTGTAGTATACTCTCCTTAGATTTGCTGCTAAATAAATAAAATTGAGCCTTACTAACGTTGAATTCATTTATTCTAAATTTGTTATTGTAGCAAAATCATAATTTATCTTCATCATTATTGGAAGTTCAAAAATTATTTAGTATTGTCGAACTGAAATTATATGTTACAAAGATTCACTGCCTTTGAATAATTATTTTTTCACTCACAATATTATTCGGATGTTATTTAAACAAATAATTTTAGTTCGACAATACTAAATGATAAAGATAAATCATGATTTTGCTACAGTAGTGAAGATCATTTAACTCATAAATTTGCTAATACTTATGAACAAATAACCCTCTTTCTTAGCTTTATCACGAATCGTTGCAGGATTCTCCGGACCATGCTTGGTTACGTGATAACCTATATGCAACACATGCACTATGGGCAATGTACAGAGCATATCAGAAAAGTGCCGATGTAGATGAAGATTTAGGGAAAGCAAACGAATTAGGATTAAGCTGGTTTGATGAAAATTACTCTCCTATACATTGAAAAATAACTTCACTCACGAGTCGCACTTTATATTTTTTTATTTGTTTAGATTTTAATTCATTATTTTATATGATACAATATTATATTTTATATGTTATTTATTGGTTCGGAATTTTGTAATCTGCTGCAACCAGGCAATGTCGTTTCAAAAAACAATGTTTGCAAATATTATCAATAAATGTCAGTTTGTTAGCGCTAAAATGTTAATTAACTTCCAGTGCTTTGAAAAAAAGGGTTTTTTTTTTTATTTAATGTATCATTTTGTTTTAGTATGTTCATTTTAATAAAATTAATCTCCGTAGTGAATTCTAGTGACTCATTTCTTCATAATACATCAAAATTATTTTTTAATTCGAGTCTATGTAAATTGAACTTTGGATTTTAGCGTTAAAACGATGCAGTCATTGTTGGAATGTATGATGCGTCAATCAGATAAGGTTGAGCAATTCAAACTATATCAGCGTAAGAGTGATGCCCTTCATGCTAAATATTCAGCACGTACGAAGGGTACAGTTGTGGGAGATAACGAATGGGGACATTTGCAGATTGATGCTATATCATTGTATCTTCTAACATTAGCTCAGATGACTGCATCGGGTCACTATTTATTCAGTTTTCATTATAAGCAATCAAAACTACATTTTTCTATGTAATCGTCACTGGAATATATAAATATTAAATAAATGGAGAGCTTTGCACTTTTTTGTTTCTCATTGTACTCATGAGTGATGTTTCCGATTTGAAAATTTTTGAATCAAGTTTGATTTTTAGGATTACAAATTGTTCGAAATTTCGACGAGGTTGCTTTCGTACAAAATTTAGTTTATTATATCGAGGCAGGATATCGTACTCCGGTACATTTATCATTACCTCTTAATCTGTTTGCACCTTAAAATGTCAGTTTTTACTGTAGACTAAAGCTTCAAAATAAATAAATCGTGTTAATAAATGCTGACATGGATTTATTTAACGTTACGGATTTGTGGAAGTATTTGTAATTTTGAGAATGTTTACTTGAGGATTATGGTGTTTGGGAGCGTGGGGATAAAACAAATCAAGGTATTCGAGAATTGAATTCAAGTAGTGTAGGATTAGTTAAAGCCGCCTTACAAGCTTTGAATGATGTTGGTGATTTGTTCGGAGATGGCTCTAAAGGTTTAATACCATTTCTTAATTCAAAACTGAGCTTCGTCTCTTTATTTTTGCGAGTTTAAACAGTTAAGATTGAAATTCATTACTTCTGCATATAATAAAGGCGGATGTTGATCATTAAAAAAAGATGATAAAAATAAAACTCATTGTTTGACATGGTCTTGAAATTATTTTCAATGAAGTATAAGAGATGGAATATTCAAGGATCTGTAATTCATGTATTGCCTGATCAAGTCCAACAGTGTTCAGCTGTGTTGACATCAATGTTACCTCGTGAATCGTTTTCAAAGGTTCATTCATCTTTTTTGATTGATAATTTTTTTATTATTCTATAACTTTATTATTTTGTGAACGCAATCAGTTTGTTTTTTTATCTTTTGCTGGTAGAATTTTAGGAAACCGACATGGCTCTTCTCAGTGTCATTTCTTATCCAGCGTTTGCTGTAGAAGAACAAAATTTAATTCAACTCACACGAGAAACAGTTATCAGTACATTGCTTGGCCGTTATGGTTGTCGACGTTTTTTGCGGGATGGTTACAAAACACCGCTAGAAGTGAGTCTACCGTGGTTTTAAAAACTCTAATCTTATTATGATTTGATATGTGAATGTTTTTAAATGTTCTGAAACTATTGCTACATAACTGGATGGGCTTTAATATTTGGTGTATAGTAACTATGAAGATCATCATTATTTTATTTATTGTATAGCTTGAAAGTATATACGATAGCACCGCAGTGCAAGGTGGTTTTTGCGAACTATCCTTTCCAAGAAACTTAAGTTTAATTGCATTTTCAGGACCCATCTCGTCTTTACTACAATAATTCCGAGCTGCAACAGTTTGAAGATATTGAGTGTGAGTGGCCATTATCAATCTGTTTTCTCATGCTGGATGCAATGTTTTCTGGCGATGAGTCTGCGGCTGAACAGTATTGGCGAATGATGGAAAGTGTATGGTTCATTTAAGTCTAACCTACAGATTCCATTTTCTTCGCAGCACATTTAAATACTTTAAATTTGTATTTCTTGTGTTTTCTAAGGATGCCACTTACGATAGTTATGGCTTTTATTATGCGTTAAAACTGAAAATTTGATATATAGTATATGAATGTTTTAAATATTCAGAAATATATGAATATATTAAATATTTAGAAATTCATATATGTTTTTCAGATCACTGTAGTCCGAAATGGTTTGCGATTAGTACCGGAGCTTTATAGAGTACCCTATGATAAGATGATGCAAGAAAAGCAACAACGTGGCTCTCAGGATAGAGACGCAGTTGGAGCAATGTAAGTAGTGATTTGTTGAATCATTTCAAACATTTACTTTAATAAGAAGAAGTAAATTTATCCGCTTTGTGGTAAAAATTTTCTGTTCTTACGAAAGCTATAATGACAGATGCATAACTTCTTACCTATTTCGATAACATGCTGGACGTAATGTACATATCTATCGCATCATATGAATATTTGTAAAAATTTTTCTGATGATTATGATATTAAAAATTATGATTTAGACCATTTTTGTGGGCACAAGCATTATATATCGTCTGTTGTTTACTTCATGATGGTTTCTTAACTCCAGCTGAATTAGACCCATTAAATAGACGGTTAGCTGCTTATGAGAAACACCCTCCTTGTGAAGTTCAAGGTACTTTCTATTTTTACTTCATTAATTTTCTTTAAATTGTTTATTTATTTTATAACATTAGTAGTAAAAATTTTCTTTTCACGGAATGATTCTGTTAGAAATTTTAATGTGAAAAGATTGCTATTTTAATTGTTGAGTCTCGATATTGGCTGAAACAGTCGAAGTACAAGAAGATCTGCTGGCACAAGGTATTAGCGTGCAAAATGTCAATGAAATTGATGTTTTTTCTGTCCAACCGGCATCTACATTTGCCCAAATTCTGTCAAGGTTCGTTTTCTTTTTCTTTAATTTGCCAATTTGTAAGTGTATTTAAATTTGGAAACTACAAAACCATCATAAATTAAAAATATACAATGGATTGCCAATCTTATGCACTGGAAAAATAGTTTGAAACATAATTAAAAATGGAATCACTCTGAATCTCATAAAAATGTGAAGCATTTATTTTTCATCCCATACTTGGGATACATTTTATGTCCCTACTTCATGACTTCACTTCAGAGCCTATTGAGTTAGTCTAGAATAACTGACATGTTTTTTCCAATGATGTATTTCTAAAAGTGTATTGTATCTATGTTAAAAAGTGTATTATCAGATTGGGTGAATGTAACAAACTGCGGCTTTCTGGTCGTCCTATTAATCGAGAAGTTGGTGTGCTCAGTACTAGTAAACTTTATCAGTTAGGACAAAAATTTGTGATATTCACACCTCAGGTATTTTCAGCTTTAAAAAAATCTCATTAAAATGGTTGCATGACTTCAATTGTAGAACAGACTGATTTGTTTAATCCTTTGATTTTTAGTTCATGGACCAAGAGCGATCATATCTGACGTATGACATTCGAATTTTGATGAATGAGTGGAGTTCAGAACTTCAATATATATATAGTACTTGGAATAATACTTCTATTTCTGGTCGACCTTTAATAGTCCTAATAGTTACGAAAAATATGCTTGAAGCAGTAAGAATTTACAGTTGAAATAAATTACACAAATTCCATTAAAATCATAGTAATTTAGGGATTTTGTAAGGTATAGTACGTACGTGCTTTTTTTTACATGCAAATTCTTTTTTTTTACTTCCATTTTCTTTCCGTTCATACGTTTCCTCTTTTATTTCTATTTTCAAAATTTCTTTAATGTGCTCATTAATGATAAATATTTTATGCTGTAGAATCATCAGCTGATGAAATATAAAATGTGTTTCGTAAATATGAGCAAGAAATCGTGATGTATCTTGAAAGAAAAAGCACTATTTTCTTAATCAAAATGGATAAAAAAATTTATGGTTTATGTTTCAGGATGTGAAATCGGATGATGCCTTTTACACTGATTTTCATATGAGGGCATCAGTTGTGGGAACTATAAAAAAAATAGCTACAGGATATATTGGTGGGGCTCGGTATGTTCTTGATTATTGATATATGCAAACATCTAAAAAGGTTGTTTTATGTGATTTACTTGCGTTAAGTTACTGGCAATTGTAAAATTAAGTTCTAAAATTATTGTACGCAAAAGTAAGCTTGCTGTTAGAGCTTTCTTTAGCATGAATTTAAACTCAAAATAGACTGATATTTAAATTTCCAATATAAATTGTTAATAACTTTCTTTGATAAAATAAATTTTCTTACATACATTCATTTCGGTTTAATTATCAAGGTTTCTTACTTTTTTTTTGTTATAAGAATAATATGTCCTAGCTAAGAATATTGGTCAGTTTAAAAAAATAGTTATAATATGGTGAAGATAAGTCTTAATTAGAAGTTGTTAAAAATTTCATCATCAGTACTTACCCTTGTCTTAGAGTAGTGATGAAGAATATCTCGGATTTTTTTCGAACAACAGCCGTCAGCAAACTGGAGTTTCATAATGAATTAATTCAAGAATTGTTGGATGAAAAAGAAAAAGAAACATCACATCGAAATTTACCAACTTCAGGTAACTTGGAAACAAATGTGAATAAGCAAGTTGATCATTCTTTCTCATAATTGCTAATATTCAGTTGTATCTTGTAGTATCTTGTAGTATTCCAAAACATTTCCGTACAATAAAATGATATATAGCAGTTGATTTCGAAAACAGTCACAGGAATTAAAATCTTCTAAAAAATTTTATCTTCAAAAATTATTGTAAATGTGATCCAAAAGCTGTCTCTTGGTACTAAAAAAGTGTTCAGCTAAATTAGCATTAATGAAAAAAATTAGTAATGCCTCAGGAATTTATTTTTTGTAGTAAATTATTCCTTTATATTTCATATTGAAAATGAACAGACTTCTATTTTGAAACTGGCTATGGTATTGGATTTCTCAGCATAATTTTTGTTATTGCTACACTATAAAACCAATGTCCAGTGATTATAAATGATAAGCTATTCTTTCAAAACGGTCAACTGTTCATATCTAGTAATATGTAGCAGTTGATTATATAACAGGCAAATGCCTTAATTGTTAGGAAATCATTTTAGATGCTTCATTCCAAGTCTCTCAAAAGTCTGTAAAAAATCGTGATGAATGTTACAGTTTTATACGCAAAACATCAATGCGTCACCGTAGCATCATGTTAGATAGCAGTGATCAAGGCAGTTTTTTTTTTTTTTTTTTTTTT